GCCTCTCCAGTTAAACTAGATTAGCTTTGTCAAGTTTTACAAGTGGGCATGAGGAAGCATTTCATCCATGTATGAATTTAAAAAAAGAAAAAAATCCCACACTGAGTCAGGTTACCCAGGTGTCATTCCACCCAGATGAACTCTGAATGCTTGTCTTGATCTGAGGTAACACCTGTAAACCCTTTATCCTGATGGCCTTTTGGTATTTTCCATCAAATCTTGTTGCTGCAGCTGCCAACAGAAAAATTCTGCCTGTCTTGGTATAAGCTTCAACAACCGACAACTGATATTGAAGCAAGAGCAGAAATGGCTCCTACATGCACTTTGCTTTTTTAACCAGTGGAACACGAAGCCTGAGGCCTGTGGCCTTGTTATTTTGACAGAGCTAAACCAGCTTTGCCCATGTGAGTCTGCAAAATGACTTTAAAAAAAAAAAAAAAAGACATCAGTCATTTTTTCCATGCACACAGAGACCTGCTGCAGCACATTATTCTTCCTCTCAGCATCACTCCTCTAAAATAAAATCCGCCCTCAAAGCACCAAAAGCTCCTGGTAGGAATATTTTAAGCAAAAGATCTCCAACAAGGTTAAAGTGGCAAGTCCTTTCATTACCTGCTGGAAAAAAAAAAATTCTTGAAAGTATTGCATTTCACATGTTCAGTCTCCTCGCAATGTGGTTTCCTGTCTTCCTTTCAACTTCCTAGTTAGAGCTGGAGGACTGATGGCGTTTGAAATCATCATCCCTGTGGAAGATGATGGGAAACCCACAGGAGTCCCACTGAAGACAGGAGACGGTGGTGTGCACCACAAATCTGCCTTCACTGTGAGTCTACATGTATAAATTGGTCTCGCATCTTTAAATTAGGCCCCACTGCTGCTGAAAGGAAGGAGCAGAAAAGAGATGCGCTCCAAAAGAAAGTCAATTTTGGCGTCAACGGAGTACAACAGTCCTACGTACACACCACCTTATTTTGGTCCAAGTATCCCATGGCTGTTGCATTTCATTCTGAACCTCTTTATTAACGTTATTATCTAAATTAGTTTAATTCTTTAGGTCTTAATCGTTAGTCTTGTGGGTTGGAGTGTGGCTGGAGGGATGGGTGAATGACTGAATTGATCGGACATGATTGATGAATGAAGGGATTAAAAACCAGACTGATAAAACGACCCAGAGAACCTATTTATACTTTGAATATTATTACCAAGACAACCAGTTGTTTTTTATGTACACTACAGTACCTCAGAAGGGACATCATTAATCTTCTAAAGAAATGATCTTCAGTCGCCGTATTGCCTTCCTTCCTGGTTACATGTCCCACCCCCGTCATTTCTGTCAAACGGAAGCAAAGATCATCGCAAACTGTTTGCCTTTCTTTTTTTAAATTTTTTTTTACAGATTATAGTTTGTGCACAAGAGCACAACTTCAACGCAACTGAGCCAAACGGAAAAAGTAAATTCTGCCTTTGGTCTGGACAAAACAAGCAGACCAAAGGAATACACAGCAAGTTGAGCATTTGCTTCCACAAACTGAGTGTGACTTGTGTCTAAGCCAAAGACTCGACTCACCATGTCTGTAAATGATTTGAGCATTTTTCACAATATGGTCTAAAAACGTTTTGTGAATGACGACACGTATCCTGAAGTTTTGTTTTTTTTCTCTATTCTACCTGCTGCTCTGTGGTCTGTCTTATAAACAACATTTCTATTGTTTTCCATACTTTTTTAAAGACAACTTCTGTGCTGCTATTTCATCTGTACTTACACACAATGACCAGGAACAAAGCTGTATTTTTTCCTTGCAGCTTTATATCTTATCTTCTCTTTTATTCCTCTAATCTTAGATCCAGTGCCCCTTTCCAGTGACTCTACTTAGCCCTATATTCAACCCGCCTCGTAAGCTTTTCCATTATTGTTTTTTCCAACCTAGAACCTTAGGATCCTCCAGAATGAGGTGGAGAGACACTGTAGTGGCAACAGGTCCAGCAACTAAACTCAGACATTTCATAGCCCGATCTAACAAATTCAAAGTTTGCAGGAAATGTTCATGTGACTCGTGAAAGCAATCATTTGTGAACAACTGTGGTGGTCTTACGTAGCAGCAGGAGCTCCAGTATTAGTCTCTAAATTAGTGCGATGGGACGGTCTGCTGCCTCTTCAGTGTTTTTACTCTTTCTTTAGAAAAAAATAATGACCAAGTTTAAGTCTAGTTGCATTTGTTGGATAATGATGTGGAAATTCATGGTGATCTTTAAGGTCTCATATTCACTGATCTGTGACAGCAGGAAGTTGTGGAAAGGGCAGCGTGTTCCACTCTCAATGCTGAGGCACAGCAGCACAAATGGCACGAGAAATCATCTTTGGAGGCATCAAAGTTGACACAGGTGATATTTTTAAATTGCTAATTAACTGAGGACAACCGAGGCAGCAGCTGTTGGACGATGTTTGTATGTAGTTTGTTTATGCGTTTCAGATCTGTGAATCCCACTGGTGACGAGCCAAATTTAGGTCAAAAAGGCAACTGACACCATCTTCTGCGAAACATCTCTAAAATATTTATGAAGGATGCTTTCCAGTTTAAAGATTAAAAGCTCTTTAAAATTCAATTTTTGATGTTTTCTGGGAAATCCACTAATTGGCAAAGGTTGTTTTAAAGTAATAAAAAATCTTATTGATTCTTGATTAATTCCTCAGTAGATGTGGGAGGACTTTAGCCTGGCTAACTGTCTGATGCAAGCCGGCGATGGGCTGTGCTTTTTAAAATTAGAGGAGGAGAGGGATGATTATTTCATGATGCCCTCTGTCTGACTGAACTTCCACTAAGCCCTCTCCAACTGTGTAGTGGTACATAAGGTGGATTTGATTTGAAGAACCTTGAAGCAGTTGTTATCCAGAGTGAATTATCATTGCACAAAAGGTGATTTTTAAATGGTCTTTCTTCCGGACTCACTGGATGATTGACTGATGTTCTGTCTTACATTTACAATTTGAACTTGTAACCTTTCCATAAGCTACAGTCTTTCTTTAAAAATGGAAACCCCCTGCAGAGTGGAAGCTAAACTACCTGATTTAAAGAGGAAATATATTTTTGAGACATAAAAGGGCAGCATGATCCCAAAAAACTGAATAAAGCAATCAGTCTAACCTTATTTGTAGAGCACTTACCGTGAAGAAAAATCCGCATTTCTATAGTTTTTTTCAAAGCATGTAAGAAATCAAAAAATACTTTTTATGGTGCACATCAAACTTTTGGAAACCATTGAGTTGATTGCGAGGGTTTATTGGAAGTTCCAACATTTTTCAGGTAGAAGGTATTTAAGTACATATTTTACATATATCTATTACACTTTTATATCTAGAAAACTAATTTTTATCAGTCATTTACGTCAGTCATTTATGTCACTTTTAATCCCTTAACTTTTTGGTTTTTTGCCCTTTAAACTTTCATTGAACTCTCAAAAACCAAAACACTGAATAACTGACAAACTACTACTCTGCTGAAAGTTGAAGTTGTTTCAAGAAAAACAGGGCTGACCTGCTCATTCAATGCAGTTCATAAATTATTCACCAAACCAAAGTCGATTAGATGTACATGTATGCATGTTTTGTGATCAGAGGTTGAAATGCTTCAATAGCTGTCTCTAACATAATTTTTACAGTGTTTAAGCACATTAGATGACAAAATATTAAAACATATTAAAATGGTTATTATTTGGGCTCGGTCGGTCATTAAAAGCAAAATATTTTTTTAGTTTTTTTTTTTTTAATGCAGTTTGGATCAATACTTGGGTTTCACTATAAATCTTCAACATTTGTCTGGGAAATCAATGTAAATATGACTGGATGCTATCAAAAAGAGGTAAAACATTGTAAAGAAAAAAATATGATCTTGCTACTTTTACAGTAAATGTGACCCTAAGTACGTCAAAGTTGTATTGAAAAACTGACCAATTGCTCATTAGTTATTGGAATAAGAAGTTAAAAGGTCCCCTAGTCCCTCAACCACCATCCATAGTCCCAACACTGCTTTAACAGTGTAACTGCCCAGATAATTCACCATTCATGACTTATTCATTGCATAAACAAACACACTTCCAAGCAGCTGCTCAGTGAATGCTGCTCAAACGCTTCCTGCACAAACCCCACTCGCTGGCTTAATTGGTATTCCTAGCTCCAAGTGTCATTCGGTCAGGTTCAAGATCCAAATCTACAATTAGCCTGCGACACTGTGCAATGGATGTAGCGTATCTCGCTGTCACGAAACATGACAGAGCTCTAGAGATCACCAGCAGCAAGGTCAGAGTTGCATTCCGGTACTTTGTCTCTCTTAACGCAGTGAAATCAGGTGGCAGCCGAATACCAGCCGACTCTTTCCCCGCTATATTCTTCCAAGAAGAAGGAGATGTAATTGTTTCCTCTGTGTGCACAGGCGAATAGCAAGGAGCAATCCTTATTCTGCAGCAAGCTCTGCGGCAGAGACGGAGAGGAGAGAGCCGTGTTCGCCATGGCTCCCCAGGGGAAGCTCTGCTCAGTGGCAGCCGGATGGATGCTCCTGCTTTTGTTCAGGGTTTTCCACAGGCCAAAGGCAACACTCATCTGCTGCCTGGCTGTCATCTGCATTTATGAGAGCAGCTTTCTGTCTTTCACGCTTTTGTTTCTACTTTTTCAAATGAAAGATGTGGATAAAAAAAGGCGTATATCGCAGACTTTTTCCAGTTTGAAGAGTCGTGTGTCATTTCAATTTGGAATTCAACTTGTTGTAGTAAAGTTTATTAAATCATTCTCATTGTGATTTAAAGTTGGTGTGAACTTTAAACCAACTTTAAATCTTTCTAATGAAAGAGCAGTAGTATGAACAATGCTTTCCAAATGATTTAAACAGTTTTAAATCTGTTGAGTGGACACACTGGAGTTGTGCACTAAACAGATGCAAGAAAACTTGGTAAAGGTTGCAAAAGATTTGACTCAACAATGTTCAGCATAAAGCTAGAGCTGCAATGGAAGGATTCAAATCAGAAGGTATGGATGTCGCATGGTGGTAAAAATTCGCACCATAATCAGTTGCTGGTTCAGTCCCCCACTCTGTCTGATTCCAGGTTTTTTTATTTAGAAAAAAAAGCAAAAAAAATTAACACCAGAAATTAGATATGGTGTAAAAAAAAGTTTGGAGATTTTATTTTTAAGCCAAATTGCCATGACCTAGTGGACTTTAGTACTAAATATTATGTTGGTGTAGCACATTATCATTAGCAGAACTTATCTTTACGATTATGATATAACTGGATTAGCACAACTAACATTTTTGTTACAGTCTCACCACTGCTGTTGAATTTCTAAATTAGAATAAATGCACAAAGAGGAGAGGCCAGAAGTCCACAACAGTGACATGGAAGATCGCTGCCAAATAATGGAAACACTTGATGGCAGGTTTTGCTGCCATGTGTGGCTGAACCCAGATGTGTTCAAAGTGGCATCTACTTTATCCAATTAGGAGCACTTTTAATCATTTGACAACAAAAATAATTAAAATTTACTTAAATTTGTTTGATCTAAAGTGAAATACATTTAAAACGCCAAGTAGCCTACAATATGCAGAGAGCTGGACATTCATTTATTTGAGTTTTTAAATGTAGAACTAAGTCAGTTCTGCTCCCAACACAGAACAGAACATAACAGCTTTTTGGGTATGAATGATGCAATTTCACCTCAGTAAACGAGTGAAGAAGTGTGCATGACAAGTCTTAATTCACTCTTTGCATTTCACCTATTTAATGAAATATAAATGGATATAGTGGAGGTTAGGACTTAGTGAAAATATTTTATTAAGCCCCACAAGATGGACTGTCCTATCAAGATTCATATTGGCTGATTAGAAAGTCTGATCAGTTGGCTTTGACATTTAGCAATCATTTATGCAATTCGTGGTCTCTGGAGAACACGGTTTGACCTTTAAATACTCAATTGAACCTGTGAGAAAAGATACAATCAGTCACAGGCTGAGCAGGAGAATGTACTGCGACAGCTGCTGAGGAAGAGGAGCATCATTAGTTCCTCGCGGTATGTCAGGGAGATTTGTCCACGGCTTGATGGGGGCCGTTGTCAGAAAGGCAATATCGCAGAAACAGATGACACCACATTATAGCAGCACGTAGGAGGAATTCATTAACGTGATCTTTTTGTCATCTCAACTCGGAAAGCGGGCAAAGACAAGAACATTACGATCATCGCTGATTGGTAACTCGCTGATCGAGCAGCATTTAAATGGCTCCAGTCCTTCCATCTCTGTTCTCGTTTGATGGATGACGCCGTTCGTCTTGTCATGTATGACGACCGCAGCCAGCAGCTGGTTTGGTACAATCAGACCGTTGGAAGTCAGCTGTTGAGTACAAAGCAACCAGTAGTTCTTAGAGTCCTGCAAGGCTGTTCATACCCCTTGACCTTTGAACTTTTCCATATATTGTCGCACTACAACCATAAAACTCAGTAAGTTTTATTGTGATTTTATTTAACAAACATTATTGCCTTTGGTTTTGGAGGCTGTGCAGCTGGAAGGATTTTTGCTCTTTTTTTTTTAACTTTCAGACAGTTATGCTGTTTAATCATAGCAACGGTTTCTGTTTTTACGACAGTGGAGCTACAACCACACACACCTTGAGGAGTTAAAAAGGAGCTGAAATGGATGCAAAGAGCAGAGAGAAATACACTTTCTGTTCCATCTATGAACGGGTCTGTTGAAAGGCCGTCCTAGTCAAAGCATCACACCAGGCAATTTAAGTACTACCTGAGAAACCATGAAAACCCAGACTCAAATTAACCCCCTCTGCCCTGCAGGCCTCAGACGGAGCGTGAAAGTGGACATGTCCAGATAAAAGAGGACATTGGTTATCTTACTGGAATGTTGTGGTGCCAACAGATTCTGATATGTTGCCATTTGCTACTTGCAGCTTACTGGACGAAACCAATAACAGCAGAGTGGATACCCAAAGAAAGCTGGTACTTTAATCAGCTGTGCATTTCCCCAACCTGAAACTCAAATTCCTGCCGGTCAGATTTACTCTGTAAACAAGCTGAATTCAAACACAAAATGTACCATTTTACAACCTCTGAAACTGCTATGTAAAACACCAAATGGTTTCTTCATGACTTCAACTGGGATACTTTGAAAGAAAAGAAATATCTCAAATATTTTCCTTTTTTTCTCTTTCTGCTCTATCAACTTGTTCCTGAGTTTCACATTTGAATATAGATTGAAATGCATCTCTATCCCTCGTTGTTAAATACCTCAAACTCAAATGGAGCAGTGATAGCCTAAGCTTTGAGCCATTCCAACACGAGTGTTCAATAGGCGGATAACTGTAGCAATATATATGTATTTTTATTTAAATCTGGTTAATTGTGAAAAAAATTAAAGTTCTATTAATACTTGTTCAACACACTGTATTCATATATTCAGAAATGCAAAAGATTACCATCAAAGTGTGGCTCGGTGCAGAGATGCCGGAGAGATTCATGCTCCTCTGATTCTAACACGCATTTTAACAGCATGCTCCGCTTGCTGCAACAGAATCAGTTCCCCTCCTCGACGGAGCCACGCTGCGGCTGCATA